TACCCAGGCTGGGGTAGATCAGTTGTTCAAACTTTAGTGCCAAGGACCCCACTAACTATAGTGAAAATGTAAACCAGATTTTAATACTTGCATTGCCTGAATTCAACTTTAGCTTTCTAAAGAGGACACTGACTGAGTGAACCTGTCAGTGGCTTCAAGTTGCAGAACCTACTTTTGAAAGAAAGAATAGCCATTGGTGTGTTCCTGTAGTAGCAGGCTATTCAAGAAATGAAGACATTCCTAGCACTTTAAATGAATAAAAGTGCTTTCCTTTATTTTACAGCTTTCTCATTCCTCTGACATAGGTTTTCATTTTAGCATTTAGGTATTTTAGCAATACCTGTTGTTTTCACTGACTTCTGTGTTTTAAATATTTCACTCCTGTGCCCAGGAGGAGTAGCAGTGGCTACCTGGTTAAGTTGTCTGTACAGTCCTTTTTAATAAATGTTTGTTTCATGTCATGCTTTCTTCCTGCAGAGTGTTTTCACATCTGTTATTTGTCTGTGCTGCTGATAAGCAGCCATATCCCTAAAGGTAAACCCCAGCTTTCTCTTTTACAGGATGCATTAGCCACAATTCTGTTATATCCTTGTAGAAACCTTATAGAGAGAAATATGGGGAAATAAATATCCCTTCTAGTGAGCTTTTGAAAATAGAAAAGGAGACAGCAAGACAAGTTTTAACCCAGCCAAACTTCTCAGACACACTTCAGGAACACAAACCACTATGTGCTTAAGCTGCAAGATTTCTGCATCTGTGTAAGTCATAAACAGCATATAATTCCCCAAACCAGGTACTTCTGGAACAAACCCATCCTCTGCTGCCACTGACTACTGGAACTGGATTGTTTGCGTGCATAAAAATACCTTATTTGCACTTGGAGGTGTCCAGTTGTGAAACTCAAACAGACCCAGAAAAAATAACAAGGAAATCACATCCCCTTTCAACTGCTGAAAGCTCTGAGTGGGCATTTCTGTCTGTCTGTGACTGATTCACAGTGCTTCAGCTTGAGCTAGTTCTCAGCCAATTTAAACTAACTCAAACCAAACCACTGTTAGGTGGGAACAAGTCTTGCTCAGACAGGTTTCAGTTTAAAGACTCATATCCAAAACCTTCTGACAGGTGCTAGATTCCCAACAGGGCAAACCCCAGATGGACTTTTCACAGTTCTGTACTAGTGAGGAGCCTCACATTTTGTTTTGCTTTCTAAAGTTAAACTAAAAGCAGCAAGATACATGATGCCCTTTCTGATTCTTCAGGGTAGGGATAGGTGTTTTCCAAAGAGTCCTGCTTTGCCATTAGGAGATTGTCTTCTAATGTGTGCTGGAAGTAGCTTCTCTCAACAAACTGGTGACTGAGGAGCTTATGGGAGCACTTCTTAACCCAATTCTGTCAGGAAAGCCCACACATGATGTACCCTGTCAGCAAAGGAGGTAAGCTACAGCATGGTAACTCCAGTCCTGAGAAATTACCTCTGGTATTGCCAGTTACTTTAAAGACTTACTTTCTGAATGAAAATACACCTTTATAAGGGCTTTTTTCCTGTTCCTGATGCACACAAGCTTCTATCACAGTAAAGACATTACATGCAAGTAGGTAGAAAAGATGATTTCTTACAGAGGTTCCCTCCAAGAGGTCTGCAGCATCTCAGCTCTGATAGTTGCTGTTCTGATCAAGCAGACTGAAATTGCATTTCCAGTGGTTTAAGCTTCAAGTATAATTCCACTTAACATCAACACTATCAAATACATAATCTCATGGGTGATATAAGCCTTGTTTAATTCAGTCAGACATAAGTACAGTCATCTGCGTTGAACTCGGGAGTAATGGACAAAACCTGCATATTTCTGTGTCCATTTTCCTGGAAAACTGCTGCCCTCTGCATCCTCATTTCCACCTTTCCCCCCCCCTAATTTATCTAGAGACTCTGTTTCTGTTTTTTCAGACAAATGTCATCGTTCTTTGGTTTGTTTTCTTTCATCTCTGTAAGATAATAATAAAAACTAAACAGTTTGAACAAACTCGGTTCTGCCACAGCTCCGAACAGCTTCTGGTGCTTTGGGCAGTGCTCCCTCTCAAACTTTCACATAGGAATACTTAACGCACAGTGCTTTCAATGCTTAACTGCCTACAAGACTGATAGCATTGATTTCCTGCTATTATAAACCTATTACCTTTCTGATACGTCTCCTATATTTGGGTGCGACTGAAATGAACTACTGTATTGCTGCATCCAGCTGCTTCTCTTTAAGTGTCCTCTGCAGGATTACCCTGCAAAACAAACCAAAAAGGGCATTGAGACCAATACTTTGAGAGCTCTTTTCCAAACCTTTAACTGTGATGGAATAACGTCTCATTACACAAAGTTACAGAATTCTTACTCAGGCCTTAATAGTTTGCTTTAGGTTAACTGTGTGGAGTGTTCTGTTGTTCTTGGGGTTGGGGTTTTGTGTAAATTTGGGGTTTATGGTAAAGCTTTATACATACTCCACAATCTGCGCGGCTAGACAGACAGACATCCGTAGTTCCTTCTGCTTTTGCAACACTTCATTATCTAAAGTTGGTAACTGAGAGTGACGGGGCAAAGGAGACTGGATTGAAGCTGAAAGAGAGGCAGATTTCTATCAGACATGAGGCAGAAGTTGCTCTCTGTGAGGGATGTGGGGCACAGGGAGCCCAGAGAAGCTGTGGCTGCCCCGTCCCCTCTACCATATGCCCGCTGCCCTCGCCCTGACACTCCCCATAGCCCGGCCCGGCCCGCACCCGCCACCCCACTCGCTCCGTGCCTCCCCGCGGGGCCCATCCCCGACGCACCGGGTCCTGGGGCACCCGCGGGGCTGAGGCGGCAGCTCAGGAGCGGCCTCACGGCCACAGGCCCCCCCCACGGCCGCCTCAGCTTCGGGCGCGGGGCGGGGCCGGCACGTCGCGGGTGAAGGACGTCACGAGTGACGTCACGCACCTCGGCTTTCCCGCGCAGCCGTTTTCCCGCGTTCTCAGCGACCGAGTGGGCCTGGTGCGAGCGCCCCGCGCCCGCCATAACGCTGCGGTGTGCTGCCAAACGAGGGCTGGGGAAAGAGCTGCAAGTTGAGCCGGTCCCTGCGAAGCCACGGGCCTGCTTCGTGCAGGCACAGAGGTGTTCGGTGACGAGTGCCAAAGGAAATACATGAATTACCCGTGGGGCTATAATATGCGTTTTAAAACAAAAGTAGACAGACAGCCCCACCTCCTCCGAAAGAAAATAACTGAAGGGCTTAGATAAGCTTGATCAAAGAGTGGGAAACAAATGCGTGCTGTGTATGGTGCTTGGGACACCCGACTTTTAAAGTCGGCATCCAGCTCTGGGGCCTCAGCACAAGATGGACGTGGAGCTGCTTGAGCAGGTTCAGAGGAGGCCAGGGAGATGCTGGAGCAGCTCTGCTCTGGAGCCAGGCTGAGAGAACTGGGCTGGTTCAGCCTGGAGAATAGAAGGCTCCTTAAAGGGAGACCTTATTGCAGCTCCAGTGCCTAAAGGGGCTGCAGGAAACCTGGAGAGGGGCTTGGGACAAGGGTCTGTAGGGACAGCACAAGGGGAATGGCTTGAACCTGACAGAGGGAAGGTTTAGATATTAGGAAAAAATTCTTCCCTGTGAGGGTGCTGAGGCGCTGGCACAGGGTGCCCAGAGAAGCTGTGGCTGCCCCATCCCTGGCAGTGTTCAAAGCCAAGTTGGACGGAGCTTGGAGCAACCTGGTCAAACAGTCTAAAGTGAGACTGTAAAGAAAAGCATGCATTCAAGACATAAGAAGATATAAGCCAAATAGAATTCAGGCACATTCATCTTGCTTACTGCCTATTTAAGTACACAAATTGTGGAGCTCTCTATTAGCTTATTTTACCAAAACTGGTGATGTGAGAAAGAAACACATTATCGGAAAGATGCAGCACAGCTGCTCTGGTGTATCAGTTACTAGCATTCAACGCTGCATAGTTTCACCACTATATCCTTGCTTAGAATTCATGTCAAAGCAGCATTATAAATTAGATTGTAATTCTGAAACTTGATACAAGAGATTCTGGTTTGCAGTCAGCAGTTGAAATACAGCATTTCTGCCAATAACCCACTGCAGAGATGGGCAACATTACAGTAGCTTCCACACTCACTGTGGGTTAACCCTAGTCGGTAGCTAAGTCCCATGCAGCCAGTTGCTCATGCCTTGACCCTAGCAGGATAGGGTCAAGAACCATAAGGGTAAAAGTGAGAAAACTTGTGGGTTGAGATAAGGACAGTTAAAAACTAATTAAAGAAAAATACTATTCACAGCACTTTTTGCTAAAAGTAGTGAGCATTTTACCTGGAAGAACTTCTACTGTTTGAGGGTTTGCCAATATCGATGCAGAAATACTGAAACACGAAGTCTGACAAAACCAAGCTGGCTGAGGGGTTCCAGGTCTGACAGCAATTTGCAGTTGCTAATCAATACTGGCTGTTCCCTGTAAAAGGAATGCTTCTTTCTGCCATGTTTCATTCTCCCAAAGCAACAGTCAAGCTCATGAGTTGTCAGCAATGTCACAACCTCCACTTGAGCAAGGATTAGATTAGAACCAAGGACCTGAAACAGAAGTGTTAACTGTGCTGTTGGCTCTTTCATTCACACGAGACAGACTTCACGTAACAGAATGCAGATGACTGTGTCTGTGTATGTGATGAGGGACACTTTGAAATGCAACAGCAAGAACACTTGAAGGTTTAGTTCAGCAACAGGTACTTTGTTCTGCTTCAGTCTAATGAAACTTCAGCAGTTTAGTGTGTAAGAATGACAGACTCGCACAGCTATCAGTTATCTTCTTTCCCTCTGGAAGGAGCCACACTCCTCCCACTGATCCAGCAGGAACAGTCCATTTCGTAAAGAACCTCAGTGATGAGCATCAACAGCATTACATGAAGTAAGAAAATACAGACTGTGTCCAAAAAATGCAGGCACTGGCTCTTTGTAGCATCCACTTCATTTCTACTCCAAAAAACTCTGGCTTTGGAATTCTTTATTTGGTTTCAAGTATGCTGAACACAGATACTACTGTCAAAGTTCTTCCAGGTTTCCTCCCAAGCTTCCCTCCCACCTCCTATCTGCCTGGGTGGTTAACCAGTAATCTCTTACTAGATCACAGTCAACTGAAGCTACTAAAAGAAGGCAGGAGTTGGCAGCATCAGCTACGACTGCAGGGACACATTGTTCCTCTCTAACCCTCCTGTTCTAGGCTCCTGGAATACATGTAAAGCAGTAAGACTTCTGTCAAAACACAGGGGAGGGAGAAACAGCATGTTCCCTAGGTGTGTGCTCTGCAGAACTGATGTACCTTCAGGTGCTGCCCAACCGCACTACTGAGCTGTGATTGCACTGCATCATGCATCACCTGGAGAGATACCACTGCTTTCCATCAAGGTGGGGCAGATAAGCCCTTATCCTGTAGAAGTGCTCTTTGCTGCCTGGGACAAGAAGAGGCATAGCTAGCATCTTCACTGTAAGGCAATGTCAGGCCACCCTTCAGCCAGATGTAGGTCTTGTAGAGTTTCTCTCATGTCTCTTTTCTGAAGGGGCTGCATTTTCTCTTTCATTCTAAAGCAGCGAGTTCCTCCAAGAGCTGCTCTTTCTCCTGCTGCAGATCCTGCACCCGCTGTTTGTTCTGCTCTAGTCTGTCCTCCAGCCACTGAAGCAGTGGCCCACTGATGGCTGACATCTGGCTGCAGAGGTTCTTTGTGAACACTGGAAAGAGCAAGAAGATATCATGCCAGTGCAAACACAAATGCCTACAACAACCCCAAAGCCAAGAGCATCAGAGACAGACAAGGAAATGCTCCAACATGCTGACCAAGGCAACCAGACATCCCCACAGGAAAGTCAGAATCAGCAGCTTGCTAAACAGAGAAACAAGCCATTTCAATCTGACCTTTAGACAGAAATCTATAAAAATACATATCATCACTGATGCTAATTATTTTCTAAATCCAGAAGCAAAGAATGCCTTAGGTATTGAACAGATGAAAATGGACAATGGGGTATTTATCTTGGAACAGAAGTGGGAATTAGGATTCACTTTATCTCAGGGGCAAAAGCAAAGGTGGCATTTCCTGTGTGTTACATGCATACACATCAGCCAGACACTGCTCTAACATTCACCAAATCCAAAACCCCTTCCTAACAGAAAAAAAAACAAACCCAAACCAACCCAAAACTCCCAAACAAACCAAAGTCTATTGCAATTTGAACCAACTGTATAAAGGTCAAAGGACACAACAACATTCATAAAGTCCCAGGATTAGGTTATTCTACAGCCCTTGATATTTTCCTGTAAAGTGTTTTGTTACAATTCTGTTCCTCCACTAGACTTTACGTAATAAGACAACAATCTCAGGGAATTCTCTGGGTTACACAGTGTTTGTGATTGGAAATAAACTGTAGGGCAAAGAAAAAGACAAAAGTTTGTGCTATTGTAGTTTTACAAGTGCCTTTTACAGCAAAGGGGGGGCTGTTACACAGCTGGGGTCCACTGTTCCCCAAAGTTAGAGCCAAACCAGCCCCTGTTCAAGACTGCTGTTTGGACTCAGGCAGCAGCATCCTGGATTATTGCATGCAAAAAAGGAATCCTTACCTGAGCCATTATGAATCTTGGTTACGGAGTCTAGATGGGTGAGGCTGAGAAAAATGAACAGAATGAGGTTAGTGACAAGAGAGCAGTGGATTGCCTACTAGGCAAACCCAAGCTACAGAACCAGCTACCTACAAGTCACTAACACTGCAGATACATCTAAACCCCTTCACGTGTGGAAGCCCTGTACATTCACAAGGATGATGGAAGAGCCTGCAGCACAGAAACATCAGTGCTGAGCACCAGAGGCAATAAAAAAGAAGCTGATACTTCACCTAATTTTTCACACTTCTTCTCAGCACTTACCCTGGTTCAACACTAACTACTGTCACACACAGACATATCACTAAAGGGCCACCATTAGCTCACGCATGCTCTCTCTCTTTTTTGTTGCAGCAAAGGAGCAGTTACACTTAGCTCTTGTGTGCAAGGTTGAGGGACCTTGAACTCCTTAATGCAAACATGTTCAACCAGTTCTCCTATAAAGGCACATGAGCTGCTAATACTTGTTATTTTCTACACCCCTACTAAGGTCATGGTGCTCTGAAGTACAGGAAGAGTTCCATGTGTTAGCAAAGACAGTCCTGGAGAGGGGTGCAGCCCCAGCCTTCTTACCTGTGAATTCTTCTGTAAGCATCTTGTTCTTCTTGGCAAAGGATTTTGGGCAGCTCTACAGCTGATTCCAGACACACCTTCCCAATGGTTTCATGGGGGACAACATGAATAGGAATTTCGATCCTTTCATATCTAAAAGGGCATCAGACACAATAAACTTCAAAGTTCGTCTTCTACAAACCTGCAACAGTCTGTCCAATGCATGACACTGCTGCATGTTTGGGAACACATGCCTGAGTTGACAGGCAAACAGAAGCATTTTATAGCCACAAATTTGTCTGAAACTGTAATAGTAAAATGCTAAAGCAACTAAATAGCCAGTACTGCCAATATGATGCACAGCATATGTGAGGTTGGCAGGGACTCTGCACCACTCTACACAAGCTTGAAGCTGCGACCTCTAGAGTTGAAAGTAAAGAGGTTGATCTTCTATACAGTGGATTACAGCACAAATTAATACCCAGACTACAGTGAACTACACAAATCTTAAAACTACTAAATTATCTAAGCTAAATTAATCAGGTCTAGTTTTTAGATTCTCTTCAGCCTGCATTAGCAGAAGAATGGAGACCTCATTCAGGCATCTCTATATGGTATTTGCTCCTCATGATAGGAGCCGTTTGAGACAAGATTAAAGACAACCTGATGCTGAATATAATATTCTTCTGCTGTACTCACTCTGAGCTCTTTTGGGCCTGAATGGACTGGAAACAGGTGTAGAGAATCCTGCCTGTCTAAGAGAGAGGGCAGGAAGTCAGATTCCAAGAGCAAAAAAGTAAAACAAAAAAAAATCATCTAAACCCACAAATTCCTTTAAGAAGCAGAATGCTCTTTCAAATAACACTGTACCAGGTTGCAAAGGGACATGCTTTTCACTTTGATTGCTGTGCTGGAACTGTTTACAAGCAGATACCGACAAGACACAGCACTGCCAGCTTATCTCACACTACAGCAGCATCTCCTAAGGAGGTGAAAGGCAGGGAGCTGCAATAAGCTGTATCTGCTGGCCTGAACAGCTGAAGGGCACTCACACATTTCAGCACACACACACACTGCAGCCATCTGATGCAGTCCCAGAAACCTGGTGGCAGCCCAGCTTTGCTGGCTAGAGAACCAGGCTGTGGATCAGCAGAGAGTAATTAATAACTCTCCCTTTTGTCATTGGGATTATGATCCAAACGTCACCATTCGAGCCATGCTTTGACTATGCTCCAAGCAGAGCTCTGCCCTTCTTAAAGGCTGCATGCAAGGATTTCAGCTCTACCCTGTTTCTCATGACCACCTGGAGGGTTTACTCTCATTTTGCTTACCTTTGTGTTTTTGTCCTCAATGAAGCAGGAAAAGATAAGCCCCACAAAACCTTGGTCCATCATCTGATACATGGCTTGTGTGCGGACATCTGCAAACAAAGAAACAAGAGAATAAAATCTGCACTGCTCACCTGAAGGAGTGGAAAAAGATCTGCACCTTGTGAAAGGTGACCTGGAATTGGTTACAAATGTCACAAGCTTTATTTTACTCCAGGTGACTAAATTAAAAGATAAAATTGATCTAATTTAAAATACAATTAATAGTAAATCTTATAAATACAGGATGAGTTACAGAACAAGAAATTAGCATCAGCCTGGTGCCACAGATCACCCTATAGCCATAATGTCCAACAGATAATCATCCATTTCTTTTAAAAAAGTTTTTTTCTGCATTACCACAGATGTCAAGAACCAGCACAGCAGCACTGTGATTCCCACAGCCTTTTTTGCTATTCCCTACACCTTATGTCTGGAAAAAACAGTAGTACCGGTATAGCTGAGCTGTAACTGAGTGCTCCTGCCTCAGGAATGGGGCTATACTGACAGAGACTCCTGAAGCCCACCCTGACAATCTTGTCCTACTGGAGGATGCTTGAGAAACCAACCTTTGATAGCTGGGATGTGAAGAGCTGACAAAAAGCAGTAAATTGAGCCATACTATTAGCTATTGCTGTGAGTTCTCATACAGAGCCTAGAACAAAACTGCTCTTACCAACATGTGATGGCCAGACAGTAATGTGAGGATGAGAGTGATACCAGCCCACAACTCTCATGGGACGTCCCGTCATTTCAGCCAACCTGTGTGTGAGTCAAGGTGCTCTGGAAACCAGTAGAGCAAATGGAAGTTTTTTGCACATGGAAAACCAGGGGAGTTTTAAAAGAGCTTCTCATCAGCCAACAGAATTCCAGATGCCTTTATGGAGGGGTGACAAGATACGCAGCAGGAAGCTGATGGAAGCTTCTTCCCCAGCACTGGCAGGATGCCACTGCTGCAGAAGCAAACTGCATTTTGTTGGCACATGGCAGTAACACAGCAGCAACCCGTCTAAAACAGCACCCTTGAATGGCCGTAGGGAAAAGGCTCTCCAATGCATCATGTTTGGAAACAGAGACTTGTTAACCTTTCATTACCTACCAAGTCTCCTACTGAAGAGCTACCCTCCCAAAAACATACTTCAGTTTCGCTTTTGCCCAAATATAGATATTACAAAAAACAGATATAACACAAGTACACTGCAAACACTGGAACCAACAAAGACTCCAGAGAACAGCTGCAGGAGGGAAGCAGCAATTAATTTCAAGGCAACTAGAACAAGTCACAGCACGTAAAATGAGTCCTGATGTAACCACGTCAGTGGCCACTCTGCTGCTGTCTCTACAAAAGGATATCTCTGCTTCAGTAGAGGCAGCTGAAAGCTGCTCTGGTGAAATTTCTACACGGTCTTTTCTCTTATCCGAGCGGCGCAGGATGATCACAGAGTGGATGTGCACGATCCGGCTGGTGTCAACCTAACGGCACACGAGGAAAAACACATCATTCCTCTTCTACGGCAATAACCACCCCTAAGGCAAAGCCCGATTCCCGGCCGCCAGTAGAGCACAGGTACACACTGCAGCACAGCCAGGCACACAAACGGGAAGCCTGCCTGACTCTACGCTTTGATTTCCATAGCGGCAGGAGACGGGAGGCCGAGGCCCCTCAGCACGGTCCTGCTGTCTGTGTCCCACCCGTCTCCCCCCTCGCGGCCGCTCCCATCGCACCGCCGGTACCTCGCCGATGCAGAGCCCCATGACCTCCTCCTTCTCGGTGCTCAGCGCATGGTTCAGGCACACCAAGAAGGCGTCAGCCTCCAGATACACGGCCTGCACCGCCATCTTAACACCAACCCTCCCCGCCTTCCTCTACCACCCCCGGAAGTAGCCGGGGCCGAGCCCAACTCCCCCCGCCCTCACTCGGCAGCGGGACCAATCCCAGTGGGGCTCGCCAACCCTTCCAGCCAATCAGAGGGGCAAAAGCGCCCTCTGGCTTCCGGAGGTGCGAGCGGTGCCGCGCACCGGAAGCGCCGTGTCGCCCACGCGAGCGGCAGCCGCGGGGTTCCGCGCTGCAGCCGCTGCCCGCGGCGGGGCGGATCGAGACGGGGCGGTGCGGGGCGGGCGGCGGGGCGGAGGGGGGCCGGCGCGGCTCGGGGTGGGGCGGGGCTCTGCTGCGCGGCGGCTACTGGGGCCTGCGAGCAGCCGCGGGGAGGCTGCGGGTCAGAGGGGGAGGGCGGGGGAAGGCTTTGCTCGGTGCACACGGCGCTGGCTGTCACCTGGCGCGGGGCTGCAGGTAGGTCACGGGCGGGCGGCCCGCGGGGCCGGACCCGGCGGCTCCCGCTCCGCCCGGTGCCGTCTCATGCCGTGGGGCGGCCGCTGAGCCCCACAGGCCCGGCCCGGGTGGGAGGCGGTTGCTATGGAGACGTGCTGCGCACTCTTCCCGCCGCGGCGGCTGGACCTCCCCGGCCCTCCCCGCCTCCTCCCCGCCACGGCCGCACCGGTCCCGCACCGCTCCCCACCCTGCCTTCCCCTCGCTCCCCATCGGCCAGCCCGTCACCAGGCCCAGCTCCCGCACCCCTCCCCTCCCTTCTCTGGGGCTCCCCCCATGCTGTGTCCATCTCTTTTTGTCTCCCTGTTTCTTTAGATCCCACCACAGACCTTCCCTCCCCGCGCTGCTGGACAGCCCTGGCTGGTCGGTGAGCATCTGCTACCCCTCAGTAGGTTGGGCAGAGCGGAGAGCGGAGTCCCAGGGCTGCTTGCTCGGGGCGAGTGCTCCCGGCAGAGTAGAGTCCAAACCCCCAAGAAGAAGCTTTAGAGTGAGTCAACGTGCTCTTACACCAGCAGACAGCTCATCCGATCCCGCATCTTGCTTGTTGCAAGACGCAGGCTGCGTTTGTCAGGGAAGCTCAGCTCCCTTTTAGCTCCCTAAAGGCTGCACCCCCAGAGGAGTACAGGCAGCTGCACACTCCACCAGAAGGCCAGGCTGGGCAGCCTTGGTCCAGAAGCTGTGCTAGCACAACGCTGTGCCTGGTGCACAGAGGCTCAGCATCACTTCTTTCCCTTGATGCCTAAATGGCAGCTGAACTCTTGTAGCGATCTGACCCAGTCCTCTTATAAAACAGAAGGCAGTGAAGGGTGCATCGTGTTCAGCATGCTGACCTCCAGCCCTGGGCATGGGCCGAGCAATTTATTTCACTGTTTTCATAAAGTATTTTAATGTACCCCATTTAAAAGTAAATAAATTGTCTTCACCACAAGCTGCAGTCCTCCTCCCGGCCATTTCCACACTTATTCATAGGTTGTATGGCTTGGAAATCCACCCAGGTCCCAGAACAGCATTGAACTTATAAGGCCTGATGCTGAGATGGACAGCATACCTGCGAGTCTTGTCCCTGTCCATGGGGATTTGGCTTTAAATCTTCTTTCTCCATTCAATATCTGAAGCAGCTCAGAGTTCTGCAATTACGTTGATGCACTTTTGTGTGTCAAAGGATGACGCTGCAATCCTGCAGAGTTATCTGCTTGGGGTTTTGTTGGATACGGTGTTTTTAAAAATAGATTGTGAAGCAAGCAGTATAAGAAACAGGTTTTACAATCTGTCTTAAATAGAAGTAAGTTTACTCCTCCTTTCACCCAGGTCTTCCTTCAGGCTTCTTTTATTGCTTTATGATAAAATCTGCCAAAACAAGCACTGTATCTGCCTTTGCCTGCTTAAAGTTTCAGGTGCAAGTGTCTGAGAGCATGCTCTTTAAAATCTCCTGTTTCTGTTGTATGTTTGGGTGCTGCAGACAGACCTGTCTCACTTCAAACCCAGCTGATGGTTCTGCCTGACCTCAGCATTTTATGTATGGCACCTTCCTAACAGTCTTAGAGACTGTGGAAAAGAAAGGCTGGACCGAGCCTTTGAACTTTTGGCAGCTGAACTCAGAGCTCTGGAGTTCAGGGGAAGTTTGGGACAGATTAGTTGGGCAAAGGGTGAAAACACGTTATAACCACTGCCCGTTCTGCAGTGTCCCTGTGTTACACCTTGTTCTGTCCGTCCTGTATCTATCCTCCACGTTCACATGCAGTAAACGCAAACGTACATGTTGTGCTTCAGCCCTCCTACCTGTCGTTCAGCAACACTGAACCAGGTTAGTATTTGGACAGGAGACCTTCCAGGAGAGTTTATTTACTGTAGGAAACAGTGTTTGCTTACCGAGTCATGTTTTCCCAGTACTGAAGTCAGTCGTGAGGCTTCTGCTTCTGGGACCATGAGCTGTAGGAATTCCAGCTTTGAATGGAATAAAAGCAAGTTCTTCAGCGGTTTTGGTCATGATGGAGCTTTTGGCAGTTGACTGCAGAGTAGGAGAGTATCCTGGCCGAATTCCAACCTGGGTGATTACATTCAGCTGACTGAAAATGAGCAGTGATTGCTGCGTTTCACTGTTGGGCAAAGTCATTTCCACGCATGGGATTAAATTCATAAAGTGGCTTAGGGTAAAGCAGAATGAAAAGGAGTTACAGAAATGTCCCTTTAACCCTCATGGGTTATTCCTGAAGGCCTTGCAAGGCTTTTCAGTTTGCTGTCACATTCCTCTAAATGCTAGGGATCCAGCTGCTGGGCCATTGCTTGGAATGGCTGTCCCCTGTCGCAGGGTGGTCTTCAGAACAGTGGTGCTTTTTATAACACACGTACATATTCCCACACATCAAACAAGGAAATAAAACAGAATGGGAGAAAAAGAAATAATAAAAGCACATCCAAAGTTTCCTTCCCTAGAGATTAAAATGCTGTGACAGTGCTGCTCGGCCTGATCCGTGGTTGGTGTTTTGTTTTCCAAAGGCCGAGTGAGCCTTTGATTCCAAAAGGTAGAGAAGCTCTAGTGTAAGATGTAGAAGGCAGCGTGGAAGCATGTTTCCTGTTATATAGCTAGCCCAATGTATAACGGTTTTCTTTTTCTCTCCCTGACTTTCCCTACTTTATTTTGTACCCAGATTTTCTTGCTCCTGTCTGAAATGTGCCTTGTAACTTTACAAGTTTGCAGAAGACCACTGTGTTTCACTGGGATAGGAATGCTGCATCTGCTTCGTAGCAGGAGGATGTTATGTGTATTACAGCTTAATTCTGTTCTACTTTAAACCTAGATAAAGAATGAAGACTGTCTGTACCATTTTGATTACCTCTTCTAGGGTTCAAAGAGAGAACCATTTCCCCTGACCTTCATTTGCTAATGGCTCAGCTTGATCTAACCGGTATACAGATAAACTTACACAAAAATTCCGGTAGGAAGAACCACCTCAATGTCCAAAATTCCTTTGCCCCTGCTGGTACTGGTGGCTCTCTGTAACCATCTAAAAGCTGAACTACGCAAAGTCCCGAGAGCTGTTCACGAGAAGCGTGTGTGTGAATGAACAATGCTGCCATCGTCTTGAGAGATGAGACGAAGGACCCGTCACAATGACAGCTCGGCAAGTTCCAAATATGAGAGTCGTGCATACGGAGTTTCGTGCTTTGTCTCCAGAGTGATCTTCGTTCTTGTTAAACTAATTCCACCTCTTGTCACAAGTTTTGCTTTTGGATTTAGACCACCATTAAGCCACGGAACTCCTGTGTAAATCACTTATTTTCCTTTCCCCCCTCTCTGTTTTACACAAAGACTGTTAACATGACTGTTAGTAGAATAAGCAAAGCCAATATTCACAGGGTTTAACTCTCTACCAATAGCACCTTTTGCCCCAGAATGCCTTACAAACACCATACAGCACGCATGTCCCAGAGTACGACTTGTCCTGCCATTTCTGTTCACTTAGGCACCACCTCAGTTTCCCAGGCTGATGCTTAGGGACATTTCAGCTCATAGCATCTCACACCATAAGTCAGACGCCACCCAGAGGTGCCTTTCAGGTCTGAGAGCTTTCTCCGTGAATGTATTCCGAGCTAAAGAGACCATGTGTGCATCCTGCGGGATGATGCCATCCACCTAACGGGAGCATCCTGACGTGATGGAGGGCATGGCAGCAGGAGGGCATGCTGGCACTCCTCCTGTCCGACTGTGGGTGCGACGAGTAGGTGTTTACTGCGATGAGCACCGCAAAACGTGGCTTGTGGCTGCGGAAGAGGCAAGTGTCCTTTGAGCTTCCCAGTGATTGTAGCTTTGCTGTTGCAGGTGCCTCTACTGCATTGCCGGTAACTGCCTGCTCTTTTTGTTACTTTCCCCCAGGAGGAAGGTATGCTGAGGGCTCGGATCCAAAGAGTTCAGGTTCCCCTGGGTGAGGCGCTGCGACCCAGCCAGCTCCCCCCATCCCGGCTGCCTCATATGTGGCAGCTGTCCCAGGGTGAGCAGTACAGGGATAGTAACTCTCGCGTTTGGGAGATAGAGCACCATCTCATGGTAAGGATGGTGGCAACAATAGGCCATAGTCATGCCTGTTTGTGAAGTCGTTTGAGATCCTTGAGGGACGGCAAAGGACTGTTAATTTGTTGAAGTCCGTTAGCTCAGCCACAGTAACTGTAGACGTATTGAACTTTTCCTTGTCGCTTACAGCTTGGTGGTGTTGAAGAACTGCTGCTTAAACTCGTGCCTGGTGATTAATCTGGTATGTGTAGACGTTATCCCTGCTTTGTACTGTGCTCTTGTTTATTCCCAGTCATTCTTTAATATGAATTTTTGTCTTTCAGGAGCAGTGGCTCTAGGAAGATGTCGTTGTATATTTTGTACAATAAATGATTCTCTCACCACTGAAATGCAGCCACCTCTGAGGTGGAAGCAGTTTAACACCACACAGCAGCATCACACAAGAGTTTAGGACAGGCAGTGAAGAGGAGTATTGTGTCCAAGTGAAACGTCAGGGGGAGTTCTAGGTAGGCAGAATGTAATTGCCCTAAGTGGAGTTTGGCCAGGATGCTGGAAATAATGCCCTAGCGCCACTGGAAAGCGCTGTGGGCTGGTAAATGGTCAGAAATTGGAAAGGCAGCACCTCCCTAGTGCTGGGCTGAAGTGCTGTGATCGCTTCCAGTAGCAGCAGCGCTTTCCTGTAGAGGTCTCCCATCCAACTACTATAGTAGCACCACCAGTTTCTGCTTGTCCTTTGATCTCTTAACAGACAGTAACAGTTACAGCTGTGTCTGACCCCTGCTTCCTGGGGGTTTGAACAGGATGGAGCTGTCCTCCCGTCTGTGGTGTTGTTTGGGGTGTTTTGGGAGGGAGGGATTTCCAAGAGGCTTTGTCCTGGAACAGCATCAGAAAAAGCCCCCCTTGTTGTCTTTATGGGACCTACATGGGTCATTTTGTTTGGTTGTTTTTGAAAATGCCTATATATATGTGTCTAACTCTGAGTCCTTGGCTGTGTAGAGCTCACAGAGAGGGCTTTTACACAATACTTGGTATAGTATAAGGTCTAGAGGCACAGAAGTGTTAGCTGTGTTAATCTGAATCTTTGCTGGAATCTTTGTGCATCCAAGTGGGAAAGGACACATTTTGGCCAGAAAAAGGCCTCCAAGCCCAGCGACATAGAACTTCCTGTATTCCTTGTCCACATTATCATCCTTTAGCCAGACACAGAGAATTCTCATGTATGTTGGCAGGCATCTGCAAGCAGCAGTAGGTGTTTTCTGCACTGTCTGTGACAGAGAGGAAAATTAGGAGCCCTTTAAAGTCTTGGCTTTAAGACTGTGTCTTGCTCCCCTGCCCCCTGAAAAGCATGTTGTTTCTACAGTAACATTTTCCTGTCATTTTAGTTCTCTGAACATGCCCCAGAAGGATCCCTGCCAGAAACAAGCCTGTGAAATACAGAAATGCTTGCAAGGTACCAAGTGTCATTTTGTCTTTTTGGTGGAACTTAATTCTTTTAACTTAATCCTGTTCTCCTTTCATCTTGAGAAGGAAGAAAGCACATTAGCATCACCTGGATGCAAACCAAACAAAATTGTGATCTCTGGCTTTAATAAATTCCCTTGTGCTTGATTGTAAATAAGGAGACACCATTAGTACCCAAGAGCGCATTTGTAACAGTAATACTGTGCTTATTTCAGAGTGGTGTTACCAGTGCTGGTAGTGAGATCTGAAGTGTAGTCTTGGGACTGAGCTGTAGGTGTGGAGAGCTAGACATTATAATGAGCTGTTTCACAGAGTGGGTAGTGAGGATGGTGGGTGGATTGCATGAGAAGACTGCAGAGCTCCTAGATGCAGGCGTGTTTTAAGAGCAGGTCAAACAGATGTCTGTCAGGAATGGGTTTGGTGTATGTGATCTGGCCTCAAGGCACGAGCTGATCTCCTTCTGAAGACCTTTAACAGCTACTTTTTATATCTTAGCTAAATAAGGAGGGAGATTATGTGATAATGTGAGTTTTGAGCCTAAGTTGGGAAGAACAGACTTGTTACTTGCAAAGGACAATATTGCTTCTTGGAAAAGGATTTGCTTTATAGAACGAGTAGGAAAAAGCATTCCTCTGTGCCAAGGCAGCTCAGCCATATGGGAAAGAGCTCTTCCTAATTCACCTGGTAGAGACCTTGACCAGCATGCTCTGAGCTTCATGTGAGTAATTCATGGTGTTAGCCCAGGGACAAGGAAGCAGGAGGCGAGTGATGCTACAGATAAAATCGGCCAGGCCGGTTCCATGGCAACTCATTTGTGCCTTTATTTTATTTGCAGACTACAAGCAGGTTAGCTAAAATATAGCTGGGATGGACCATAGGAGGGAAAGCATCTGGGAAAAGCAGTAGTCAGTTATTGGTAGATGTCTGTCTTTCCCTGGACTGTTTTGAAGCTGTGTTCAGCTCAAAGGCTCAAGCAAACCCCTCTACGTGTCCCTGACATTTGTTTAGATACTGCCTTTTACTGTTTTTATTGTTTGGAGCATTCTCCCATGAAAGGCTGCCTTCTCTCCCCATGGTGACTGCACTTAAAAGCTACTGTTTGACCCTGGTTTGGTCCAGTCTCTGACAGTGTTCCTTTTATAACATTCATGGAAGTTGTTCCAAGTGTTTCACCTGTGTAGGTTTGCGTACAGGTTTGATCTGAACAGTTAAGTGTTAGCAAAGAAGCTCTTTGACCGTGCTACATGCACAGTGTGTGTGTGTGTGCACCACTTCTCTAGCTGTCATTTTGCAGTGCTGCTGTTACTCATGTATTATCATGCTGTGGAGTTGTCTGAGTTGCAGAGAGAGGAAAGCAGAGAGATTTGCATAGAGCAGAGACAGTGATTAAATGCTTTTAAACAGCTCTTGCTTTCAGAGAAACATGCTGCCCAGCAGCTGAAGGGCTGAGCTGCGTTTGTCTCCTCCAGGGACAAAACCTGCTCCCCTCTCCAGACTTAGGTTCTCCTTCTTATTTTCCAGTGAACAACTACATGGAGTCTAAGTGTGAAGCTGTGATTCGAGAAATGCGGAAGTGCTGCGCCCAGTACCCCAGGGGCAGATCCATCTGTTGTTCAGGGTTTGAGAAAGAAGAAAGGGAGAGAGAAAAGTTGAAGGTGACGTCAGAAGGAATTCCCCCATCACCTCAGTAACACAATGCAGCTCCAGCAGGTGCCGGAGCAGGGACTCACCTGCAGAGCTCGTGTGTGGTTTTTTCAAGCCTTCTTTAGACTTTCGGGAAAGCCAGATCGCTCCAAGGACACACCACCCGGCACACCAAAAAGTATACCATAGTACCAACAGATGGCCTCCTTAACAGACTGTAGTTTCTGTACCAAAACATCATCTGCATTGTCTTTGCATTGCACCTGTCTCTGTGAAAAGTCAACTTGATGTTTTTAGGATGCTTACCTTACTCTATTCCATCCTTGCTCTCAAAATGGAGAACCGGAACCGAGTTATTCTAGCTTCTGGAGTGAGAGGTACAGGAAATGAGCTCAGACAAGTGAGTGAGTTTAAGCATGACACATGAAACAAGCCCATCTTGACACAGCAAAGGTATTGCTGCCATCGTGCAGTAGTTCCAGACATGTGCCTGTCCAGTGGTTCAAGCTCAAGAAAGGGAATCAGGTCTGGGGGTTGTTCCTAGGTCTTGCATAGATCATGAGTGACTACAGTCACTTTGCCTAAGTGCCTCACTTTCCCACTGGACAGACTTTTGATTACTTTCTATTTGAATTGCCTACACGCTGCTATTTGCATGACAAAGATGTTACAGGAACATTATTTCAGGGATTGCTACAGGAATAGGGTTTTTTTTAACAAAAAGCAATATTCATTTGAAAGATCTGACTGTTGATATAAAATTTATAAATTTATAGTTGAAAACCTTTAAGCAATATGTTACAAACCCAGCATCGTTCAACCCGCTGGTACCCAGAGGCCTATCACAAAGCCCTGGGCTAGATCCAAGAACTGATTTAGGCGCTGCTTACTCAACAAGCAGTTGTAGGCACTTGCTTTCAACACTTTCAGACTCACTCCCAAGCCGGCTGTGTCTGGACCCCAGGGAGAGATGGCTTTTCAGAAGCTCTCACCTGTGCAGCAGAATTTCCTGTGACCTGTAGGAAGAGCTCAGTAGACAGGTTCCTGCATCACCCTTCAGAGCTGCTTAAGTCTCTCTGACCCCTGTAACAGGAGTCCAGGCACTTCAGTGGGTGCCATGTCCATTACAGGGCTTAGGCACCTAAATACCAGACTTAGAACCCACTAGGCTCCTAACTCTGTCATTAGATCTAGCCGTAAAGGACTTTTGTGCTGTGATCAAGTACAACTTATGAAATACAGCTTCAGTAAACAGACCACTGTAGTCTAGGCACAATAGTTGAGTGTATTGAAGCCTAGAAGAGCCAACCATCTGTATTCTCTGCTCTGAAATACCATGATACAAAATAAATGACTGGAACAAACTGTGGTCTCAGCTTGGTTGTTTATTGAGAATACAAGGTAGCTGCAAGCCAGGCGGCTTGGCTGCCGTTCACCGTCCAGGGCTGCGTGTGATATCATCATGTTTAAACAGAAGCTGCTTGGTATTTTTATAACCCATGCTCAGGATGGGAATAATTCAGGGCTGGCCTTTTCCTCCCACTGCCTCCCCTCAAAAAGCAAACCCTTAAGACAACATACTGGCTTTAACATTGTTGAAAACAAGGGGAAAGTGATCACCATGTGTGAAGCACCTCAAACACTTGGACGAGTTGCTCGTTTTTCCATTGTGTCTTACCTGAGCAGGAACAGTGGAAAGTTACCAACAGATGATAAACAATAAATATATAGGCTTCTGTTGTGCCTATTGAAAAGCCCTGTCTCCAGGCCCAGTTCTACTCAGGTGGTACAAACTTGCTCGGCAGAGAGGCTCAGAAGCCAGGGTGGGAGCAGAATCACCTCCCGCACCAGAAGCATCCACCTACTTGGAACAGGGGTGACTGGTACCAAGATCATGAAGGAGAGGGGTTTATTAAGGCAGCCCATGGTTACCTGCAGAGAGGAGGGAAGGCTGGTGGCCTCAATCATTTAGGTTGGAAAAGACCCTTTCATCACCAAATCCATCACTAAACCATGTCACTAACTGCCACGTCTACATGTCTTCGTACATGTCTTTACGCTCACCGTGCTCAGTACAGGGAGGTGATCACTTCCCTTGCCCTGCTGCCACACTATCGCTGATATGGGCCAGGATGCTGTCGGTCTTCATGCCCACAGGGGTACACACCTGGGCTCATGCTACTAGACTGGCTGGAACTGCTTCTGTCAGTCAGATGCAAGATGCAGGGTAAGACAAAACCACTCTGGTTCCCTAGAAGTCAAGAGACCACACATAGAAGCTATTAGAGTAAAGCTGTTTAATAAAATATCACTTCAAGAAGCATTTACATACAATATATAAAAACACTTTAAAAGCCTAGTGTGTTTTAAACCTTCTCATACTGTAACAGATGCCAGTTGTTGAAACAAGACCAAAAGGAGCAGGGGTGGGGAAGGATGGGAACACCTCACCTTGACACCTGCAGCAATGAAAACGCATCCCTAAAGAGGTTGATTCAGCATCAAAGCTTCCAGTGTGGCCCCCAGCATCAAATGGTGCCATCCACAAGCCCCACACCAGAACAGCAGAAAGATTTACTAGATCCCAATGTCCTTGTTCATTCCCTTCCTGCATTCACATCAAACTCAATATAATTTTGTCCTGTTTCCCCTTTCAGCAGCGTTTTAGCTCCCTCTCTGGGCAATTTCTCTCCATAGCAGCAAGTTGGGACTTCATGGAGCAGAACCCAGCACACCCTTCCCTGGGGCTGGGCAGAAATAGTCATTTATTTGAGCCTGAAAATCGTCGGTACGGTCTGTTAATGATTTACTTTGAGCTCTGCCATTGCAGAAAGCTTCGTGGAGATTAGTGCATCTCAGAAGTTGTGTTATGCAGCACACCAGGAGGAGGGGCAGCAACACTGTTTTCCTACAGGAACAAGAGGTACCCTGCAATAAGAGTGTAACCATGCACCTATTCTGCAGGGATCCTAGAAACAAAACACCAACCCCAAACCACCACCATCACATGTCACTCCCCTCCCAAACACCAATTTCCTGAAGACTTTTGCTGCATCACATCAGTCCTGCAGTCCCGGGTGGCTTTTAGGAAGACCATCATTCAAAAGACTTCAGCCCAGTTGTTCCTTCATTCTCCTTGTCCATGTACAGCAGGAGAGGACCAACAGACCTGTCCTGGGGTCATTTTCTCCTTCTCAGTAGCTGGTGCAGTGCTGTGGTTCTGACTTTCAGCCTGGGAACAGCGCTGATAACACCGATGGTTTTAGTTACTGCTCAGTGATGTGTACTCTGACCAAGGACTTGCTGAGCCTCAGGCTCTGCCAGGGAGGAGGGGAAGAGGGGAGGAAGCAGAGACAGGACACCTGACCCAAACTGACCAAAGAGGTATTCCATACCACAGCACATCATGCCCAGTATATAAACTGGGGGCAGTTACCCGGAAGGGGGAGATCACTGCTGGGGTCGGGTTTCCTGATTATCTGCAGTCCTTTTCAGATGCTGAGGGTGAGAAAACCTCGGCTATGTCAATGTGTTGCTACACTGACACTCCAGTCAACATGAACTACAAGTTCCAACACCTCTGGTGGAAGAACCCACCATTCCAGCAGCTTCTGGGTGAAGATGCCCATTTCTGGCCATACTGAGAGCAGCAGTGGATGATCAGAAAGGCATTACACAGTGCTGGAGACGGGGTGCAGCATCCCCATCACCCACACACATCATTGTTCTCTGGCATGTTTCCTACTGAAGGATGGATGACTTTCACACACAAATGAAGAAATCCTTGGCAAGAACTCCTACATGTACCTGCTTGGAGGGCACTATCATGCAGTCACCCAAGTGCCCATGCTCTGCCAAGCAGCAATGCCAGCCCAGCCCAGCCAATGCAGGACACCTCTAAGGGATTTTCTGCTATTTTCAGTCATTTTCTCTTGTAGGTCAGAGTTCTGCTGTGCACACAGCTGCACTAGGGCAGCCTGTCCAAAACCAGCTGAGCTCTGCATCTGGGAAAGGGCTGCAGCTGACGGAATTAAGCAAGCAGCTCTTTTGGTGGAGATTGTAAACGCAAAGGAGGAAGAACATAACCAAAGCAGAGAGTCTGGAAATGAGCCTCTCCCACAAGAGCACAGCCTGGTTGTCCCAGGTTTTGTCATTTCAGTTGCTTGCAGAGCCTGGGGGCATGGAGTTTGTGCTCTACAGAGGCAGGTAAAGGACTGAACTCACGTTTCCCCTGCCACCACTCCAGCAGAGCTGGCAAGAGGGACCCTGGACCAGTACAACATACCCTAAAGACACATGCATTTCCTGCCTATGATCCTGGCCCACACGATTCCAGCTCTAAGAGCATCACCAACACCAAAGTGGCCAGAGAAGGTCACGGCAGACCTAAAAACATCAGTGTGAGGCCCAAGGTGATTTACAGGAAGTCACACAGCTGAAGCACACACTGCTAATCTGACATGGACAAGCCAAGCACACTGGAAGCCTGCCCTCCACAAGAGAGCACCTCAGCACATTTCAAAGGCTAAGCAGTCAGTTAGCAAGTGAGAAGCACTTGCTCTAACGCTCTAGAAGCACACTCTAACAGAACAGGAAGCTTGGTGACTTTCAGAACACATGATGAGGAAAGGGCCTGGAGAGCCAGCCACGGTGCTCAGTTTCCATCAGCAGTGCCAGTGCTGCAGTTCCAGTAAGGGGTATAAATAACAGCAGAGAAGCAGCCAAATGGCCATCTAAGTGCAGTGCAATGGCAAGGGAGGGCAGGAGAACCCCCAGCACCACATATAGCATGAACTTGCTCCTTATGAGCACAGCCCGGCCTGTCCCAACACTCCAGCATCCACCCCAGGAGAGCCAAGCAGAGTCTGGATTGCACACACCATCTCTGTGCAGAGGGACAAACAGGCTTCCCAGGTACTGGGGCACAAAAAGTGCAAGCTAAGCAGCAGTGACCAGCTGGGAGGTGTTGCACACATACCCTGGCAGACAAATGTACATGTAACAGCCCCCAGCACATGGGAAGAAGCTCGTTTAAGAGGTTTCTCTGCCATTACAGGTTTAAGAGGCTGCAACTCATCAGCAAATTTGGGCTGGGCATATTTAGTGGGGAAAGGAATCACAATGATACACCGCGAGTCATGAGCTTTCAGACAAATCCCAGCACCTTAACAGCCCACAGGAAATCGGAGGCAGTGTTGTAAGAAAAGTGTGGAACCTACGAACAGAACGAACTGAACCTGTTTACAATATCCTTTGACTTCTAAGTGAGAGAAAACAACAGCAGAGGAGGGCAGGGAAGGCTGGGCACGGAGAGTCAAATGCAGTTCCTAGGATGCCATTCCAAGCAGGAATCCTCCAGCAAACCCTCCAGTCACGATAACATTCTTCTTTAGAAATATGATCACCTAAGCATGGGAGAGAAGAGCCAACAGTGTTCAAGAGCAGCAGGTCACCCACCCTCCCCAAAAGAAGACATCCCTCAGGCTCCTCTCCAAGCGAGAGGCCACTGCTTGGGTCAGGGAGAATATTCCACTTATGAGCTCCCCTCCCTAATTTAATCACTGTGTGTGCAGCTTCTGAACTGACCCAGACCCAGCACAGCTCACATCCTCCACAACCTGCAGTCCAGGCCTACATGCTCCAAGGCTATCTCCCAACCAGCAGTCAGTCTGACACAAGGGGCTGCTAACTCTGTGTGCCAGAGCAGCGTACAGCAGAGCCCAGGGTACACTGGGCCACTCTGCTGCCAGATCTGCTTAGCTTTTCTTGTTGGGCTGAAGAGACACCTTTCCCCGCAACCCCAGCATGTTTCGTCCCAACCCCAAGCTATTTGAAGCGACACATGGTAAGCTGCTGTCATGCCTAGATGCCACCCTGGCTGTCCCAGATATGCAGAAATAGAATCACAGAGCAGAATCACAGAATTGTTTAGGTTGGAAGAGACCTTTAAGATCACTGGGTCCAACCATAAACCTTACGCTGTCAAGTCCACCACTAAGCCATGTCCCCAGGTGCCACATCTACACGTCTTTTAAACACCTCTAGGGGTGGTGACTCCATCACTGCCCTGGGCAGCCTGTTCCAGTGCTTCATAACCCTTTGGTGAAAAAAGTTTTGCTAATATCCAGTTTAAACCTCCCCTGGCTCAACTTGAGGCTGTTTCCTCCCATCCTGTCACTTTTGAGACTGGACACCCCCCTTGCAACAACCTCCTTTCAGGCAGTTGTAGGGAGCAGTAAGGTCCCCCCTGAGCCTTCTCTTCTCCAGACTGACCCCCCAGGTCCCTCAGCCATTCCCCATCACACTTGTGCTCCAGGCCCTGCACCAGCCCCGGTGCCCTCCTCTGGCCCTGCTCCAGCACCTCAATGTCTCTCTTGTAGTGAGGGGCCCAGAACTGAACACAGGATTCGAGGTGCAGCCTCACCAGTGCTGAATACAGGTGAACAGTCACTTCCCTGTCCCTGGTGGCCACACTATTGCCGATACAAGCCAGGATCCAATTGGTCTTCTAGGCTTTACTAGTTTAGGCAGACAACATGCACAGCCTTTGCCACCTCTCCAGTTTTGCTGTCATGCAAGCAGTCCTCCCTTGCAGTTGCACAACAGAGGATCCATAAAGGCCCAGGAGTCAATCCTGTTCTCTGATGTCCCTTCAGCTAAGCATCTGCACACGCCCTGGGAGAGTTGTCTCACCTCATCCACTTTGCTTTTCACTTCTGGAGGCATTTTGTTACCACTGCTGTGAAATTTCAGCTGCTGCTTGGCTTTGTTCATGTCCCGTTCTACCAGCTTCCAGTCCACTTTGATGTACCCCGTGTGATTTGCAATCTAGAGTTTTGAGGGGTGGAAAGAAAGTTCCTGGAGTAAAGCCCTGTGTGACCATGGCTAAACAGAAGCCCCCCTTGCCCACCCACCATCCCTGCCCATTGCCACCACCACACACTGCTCCAGTGGGCTGAGAGGATGAGCACACTAGCTTAAAAACTTGACAAAGGACCCATCCCTGCATCTGTATTGACTCTCCTGCAACATCTGTGCTCACAGGAATCCCCTACCAGCAGGACACATGTTGCAGTTAAGCCTGTTTCAGCCTCTATTCTTTAAAGCAACGCTGGCATCTGCCTTTCACAACTGCTATGGATATTGTTGGGACTCTCTGTAGCTCTCCTGTTTCTGTGGGTGGACATAGCTATTAATAGCCTGCTCCTCTCTGACTGTTTTATTTGGGCAGGATGATTCAGCAGTGAAACTCTCCATGCTCAGAGCAAGCTTTTGGCTTCCAACAGAACAAGCAGAGCCAGAAGAGCGGGGAGAACAAGTCTGAACACGAGACAGCTCCTGAGGAGCAAACAAGTAAGGTTGTTGAGCAAGGCCTGAGAGCTGCTCTGCTCCTGCAGCCTGTACAAGCTACATGTGCACATCGAGCAGCTCCCCTCAGTGCCAAGGGCTCTTGGAGACCTGGAGAAACGACTGAGGACAGACAAAGATCTCTGTTTCTCTTCCCTAGTGCTTCACAAAGAGCCCCATTTGTGCTGGCCTGACTCAAGTAGCCAGGTTGACAGGAAGCACATCACAGACATGGACAAACCCCTCTTGACATCTAGGGCTGTTTCTTGTATCTCCATGAGACTAACTACAGGACTAAGTACAGCAGCAGCATGGTTCACCTGCTCCCTGCTTCACTCAGATACCCCTGCAGTAATAGCCCCAATGTGGCCTGGCCTTTGTCAGCAGCCCCTGAACCGAACAGCACCTTTTGGCAATCCTCAGGTTTACACACACTGCTCCTGCTCTGCTGCTGCATCTACCCCAGGGAACACCCACAGTCACACAGAGCTCCGCATGGAGCTCCTGGAAGCGCAGGGAACTGGACCCACATGTCCCAGCAGGTCATGATCACCAGACAGCCCTTTGTCCCCACCAGCAGAGCTCTCAGAAAGCCTGGCTCGCTGGTCATACACACCTGAAGTAGGAAAAAGCCACCTCCCACCGCTGTCGCTGCCAGCTTTCCAACCTTCTGGAAGATGAATCCAGTACACCTACAAATCAACCACGTTCCAGTCAGGAGAATGAGATGACAAACACACCCTCCCAAGCACGCTTCCCGCAGGCAAGGCTGCCTTTGGCAGTGGTTACCCAGGACTCAGAGACAGCTGATGAATGGCACAAGAAATGCACGTGCAACCAGAGAGTAAGGATCTGTGCCCAGCTTTACAGCATTCTGCTGCTGTCACACTTCAGCCTTTTGCAGTTTTGATTCTTCTCTCTTCAATGTCTGCTCCCAGAGTCATTGGAAACACAGGGTTTCACCAAAGGCAGAGGTGATTTTAGCTTTGCCTCTGTTTTTTCAACTGGCATCATCTCTGAAGGGAAATCAGGCAGCACATGTGCCGCTGCTCCACGAAGCAGACCACAGGGCAAGCTGACTGCTGCCCAAACAACTACTTGCTTTTCTTTATCAGAAGAGAAAACTGCCACAGCACGCAGACAGCAGTGGTCTGAAGCTGTACTGGTCTCCAAGGTTACACATTCTCAACATGAAAGACATCACTGAAGCCACCAGAACTCAAGCAAGCGACACCCCATTGCTCAGCAAAGAACTAATGTACCACTGAAAGCAGACTTTACTTTGACCACAGTTTCCTTGCCACCACTGCAAAACAATACAGCAACCTTCTCTCACCCATTTGTGAATACATACATTTAGTGAAGATACAAGGGAGAGATCTGTCCTACACTTGTAAATTCACCCCATGCCAGGTGAAGAAGCAAAGCAGTGTGATTACACCAAGTCTGCAACTCAAACAGTGGGTGGGAATGAAGTTGCAAACAGAGCCACAGGCCACCAGCACTTGCTACAAGCAACACAGACCCCATCAACCATGCTTATAGATATAATAAGACACCTCCACAGGAGGTTTTAGTGCACATGCCTGAAACACATCCATCTCCAGGGAAGAAGGTATCCCTGTTCTGAGAGGCTCATATTTACCTCAGTTTAACACCACCATGTTATGGCAGGAGTTAAAGAGAACTCTCTCACCTCAAAAATTAAAGCCTGATGCTATTTTCTCCCCTAGGAGACAGCCTCAGTTCTTCAGCTCCATGTTAGAGACAGCTTTTAAGCCCATGCCAGCGCACATTGGGATGAGCATGCTGGACACCTGTCTCCTCCGAAAGGCTGCCAGATGCCCCCCCTGCAGCTGCCAGCGCCTTCCCAAAAGCCCAGCATCCTGCCTGCCACAAGCAGTGCCAGCAGCCCCCAGCACAAGCAGCACCAGCAGCCCCCAGCACCTCTCACCATCCCGTGACCCCTCCGATCAGCAGCTGCGTGGCCACGTTGTACTTCTCAGCGCTGGACCCCGAGCTGGGGGCGAAGACCTTGCGCCACCACGGCTGCTTCTTGGTGTACTCCGCCAGGTCCAGGACATTGAAGGTCTCCTCCGCACCTGCAGGCACATGGAGAGGCTCAGTGCCGGGACTGCTGCCCCACAGCCTCCCCTGCCAGCTCCCCCGGGACACGGGACCCACATCCAGCCCCATAGCCCCGCAGGGTCTGGCATCCCTCCGGGACCCTCCCTCAGCCCCACGCCCTCCACCGAGGGCCCCAGAGCCCCCCGGACCCCGTGCTCTATCGCTGCATCCCGTTCGTTCCCGTGCGGAACGGGCTGAAGAGCGCTGTCCCGCCGCGGGACGCTCCCGGGCCAGGCCCCGCTATCAGCCAAAGGAAACGGCCGCACGCAGGGGACAGGCCCCGGTCTCCCGGGACGGGGCGGGAGGAAGCCGGGACCCCCACCGCCACAGGGAGAGGAACGGAAGGACCCCGCCATCCCCATCCCCATTCCCATTCCCATCCCCATCCCACCTCCGCCCCGCGCCGCCATTCCTCCGCCAACGGCCCGCCGCGGCCAAGTAACCCCACACGGCGGCGTAAGCGCGTTCCGCGGGGGAAGGCCGCCGTGACGTAGCGGCGGCGGCGGCGCGAACGGTGCCGGTGTCCGCCGGTTCGAGTCACCCCGGCTACGCCATCCCCTCCGCTACCGCAGCGGCACCGCCTGCCCACAGCGCTCCCCACGGGGGTCCCCGGGGCCGTGCGTGGGTCCTAAGGGAACTGGTTCCGGTACCGCATGGGGGAGCCTGTGGTACCCAGCGGAGGGACAAAGCGGGCTCGACGGGCACCTTAAAAGCTCCCACGGCGCTTTGCTCCCCCCGACATGGGGCTTGTTTTCCAGTGTTGGTCCCACAGAGGAGCGGGGCACGTGTGTGGTGGGGCTGGGGGCTCAGGCACGTTGGATGTGACGCGGAGCCCTGTCCTGATGTGCCCCTGCCACCCCCTGCGCTGATGCGGGCAGCCAGGCACTAACACATCTGATTGTCTGCCCTCAAACAAGGATCCCTGCCGCGTCTGAACCAAACGCTCCTTCTTCCCACTTGGGGACGCAGCTGCCCAGGGAGTAGCAAAGCCCGGAAACCTGAGAGACAGCAGGCAAAAAGCACAGAGATCCTCCTGGAGATGTAAGCAAAGGAGGAGCGGGCTTGACCCTCCTGTGGGGTTAACGGGAACCAGTGCACGAGTGGGAGCTGGAGCGCAGGTGGGGGAACAGCGTTCTGGGAACCAGCGGCAGCATTCAGCCTCCGTGCCTGGGACATCCTGGTTGTCAACAGCACCCTCTTCCCCCCCCCTCCCGCAGGTCGGGAGCTGCGGCAGCATCACACGTGTTTCCTGCGCTGCCCTGCTGAGGGGAACTGGCTGGAGCAGTGTGTGCCCACCCAAAGGAAGGCAGGGAGACGGGGACAGTGATTCCTCAGTGGTTGAGTTGTGCTGTCTTGCACACAGTCATCCCCTGGGGGCTGCTGCCCACAGCAAGTTTGGGCCTTGGGACTAGGCTGTCTAAGATGCAGAGGGCCCAGTAAGGTACAGCTGGACACCATGGGGATGCAGGAGGAGAGAATCCAGGTGTCCAGCCCTTGAGAGCCATGGACCCTGTAGACAGGATGCTCCAAAGGGTTTTCGCTCTCATAACCACACAGAGAAGGGGACTGCACTCCACAAGGGTTTATTTACTCTCTGGTGACTGGAAAGCTGCTGCGTTTGCTCTCCTGTGCAGGCAAAGCCCCATGGCATCGCTCAGGATCAGGGCTCCCCTCTGCTCCCACCACACTGGCAGCAAGCCCCAGTTGTCCCATGCCCAGATCAGAGGGCAGCTCCTGCAGGTGCAGTGTGGTCACCCTTTGGTGACCCAGTAATCAGATGTAGCTGTTAGTGAGACTGACGGACAGATCCTACACCGACTACTGAGCAGCCAAGGGCACCATGTCTCTGCTGGGTCTCCATCTCGGCTGTAGGCAGGGCTGGCAGTGAGCAGAGCAGCTTCCCCTGTAAAGAGAAGATACGGGGCAGGGGAGGGGATGGCTGATGGGGAGGGGTGGCTGGGGGCAAGTGGGTGCCTGTGGCAATATTTCATTTTGGAAAGCCCATTGAACATGGATGTCAGGTGGCACTGGGGTCTCCCGCATGTCCATTATGTGGTGGGTTCCCATCTCCATGCAGCACGTGTCCCCAAGCTGTCTCCTTCCTCCAGGCAAAAGGTTGCCTGCATGCCCTGGGGCCAGGCAGGGCTCCTCTCATGCCTTCTCCTTGGTGCTAGCTGGGGTGTTCCCTACACACATGGTCCCAAAGGTGTCCGCTGGCCTGAGCATCTGCAATATGGCCCCATCTTTCCCAGCACAAGTGTGCCATCACCCAGGGCAGCTTCCTCTCATGGGGGGGTAGGAGCTGGGCTGATAGAAAAGCTGCAGGTCTGTGCAGCAGGATCAGGCCCAGCTTGCTATATAGGGTGGCACAGGGGCTGGTGGGCACAGCAGTGGGGCCCAGCACTCCAGCTCAGCACCCCACAACCACTGGGGCTCCTTGCAAGGCATCTTCCTGGCCAGCAGCCGTGTTCAGCTCAGGAGACACAGGCAAGAGCAGCCATTCTCCTCCCTCCTGGCACCACCACTGCCTCCCAGCCTGTGGTCAGGGGCAAGCAGTACTGAGCAATAATGCAGCCACCAAAACCATGTTCCCCTGGTCAGTACCTGCTTGTAGACCCCCCCCAAAATGCTCTGTAAATGGACCCACGATGCCCCTCTGTGCATCTCAGAGAGGCACCATACCTGTCCATCTCCACCAGATAGGAAACGTGTCCCGGGTGCGCAGGGACCGGGAGGGCTGCAGCGTCCTGGTGCTCCCAAGCTGCTCTCAGTTCAGCGTGATGTGGCTCCGATGCTGCCAGCCTCGTGGCCCTGTGCTGTGCTGGGGCCGCCACCGTGTCACTGCTTTTAGTACAGCAAGAAGCAGAGTCTGAATTCCCCTTCCCGTGCTGGGACATCCGTACTGGTGTCACGCAGCCGCGCAGGGACAGCCCCGGCTGGCGGCTGGCTGGGGGCACGCTGCAGCTTGCAGGAAGGAAATGATGTGCAGCTCAGCCCCGTCAAAGCAGGGATTTTCAGCGGGGTTTCTCTCTCTGCTGCCGTCTCTCTCGATCTTTTCTCATGTTCTGGAAATGAAGCAAACTCGGGCTCCAGCCCTTCGTGCCGCTATGGGTGCGGGTGACAGCCCTTCTTCTTCACCCCCCCACCCGGATGCTGTAGGGACTTTTCAGCGCAGGCCAGCTCTCCCCCACCACAAAGGAAGGGGCTTTCTGCTCCCTCCTGCCAGCCGCTGGGGTTCCTACCGGCTGGGCTAAGGGAACAGGAGGCAGGCTGAGCAGCCACAGCGCTGTGCTTAGAGCAGGAGTAAGCCCCTCGAGCCATCCCTCCTGCCGTGAAGCACTGATTTTGGACCACGAATGGATGCAGCCAGTCTGAAGCATGGCAAATGATACTTAGATTCTCTCTTCCTGGCTTGCTGCTGCCTTGCAGGTGGCCATGGGCAAGTCCTGCTGCTCCCTGCAGCAGTTTCCCCTACATAAAAAAGTGAATATAAATAAAACTGAATAAATAAAAAAGCGATATAGAAAGTGATTAACATTTCCTGGATGCTCCATAATCTCCTCGTTCAACTCTTGCATGTTTTCTGCCCCTTTGGACAGGATCCCAGGCCATCTTCCCTTACAGTCCCTCCATCTACACCTTTTCCCATCACTGCCTGGCCAGGGTTTGTCTCTCTGTCTGGGCTGGTTCTGCAGCAGCCTGAACAGAGACAAAAGCACCATGAGAGATGCCTGCTTTGGCCGGTGGGTTGGTGGTTGAATATTCTTGTTTCCTAACTGAGACAGTGGGTTCTGACAAAAAAAGCAGCTCCCCATAAAGCACCTCTGCCCTTGCAGAGCACAGTGGTGATGGTGCATGCAGTGAACACATCCCCTGTGACTAAACCCCAGTGCTGGCTGTGGAGATGAGGCTGCAAACCCCCACTCCAGCTGTGCAGGGAGGTGCTTAAGAGGTGCCAGGGATTTCCTGCTGCATTTGGTGCAATGAGTGAGTGTGGCACGCATCCAGGTGGGAATGGCTGGCAGCCGGGGCAGGAGCCAGCCAGCAGTTTGTGCCCAGCGGCATAGGGATGAAGCGTGGCAAGCCCATGAGGCCTTACCCAGGGCATGTCTGTGGAAGAGCAGGGATGGGGTCTTGGTCCTTTCCCTTGGATTGCCAGTGCCACACAGCACAGACAGTTTTGGTGCTCTCTGCCCATGCAAGTGCTGGGAAGGGTGAGGCTGGAGAGGGACTCTTCATCAGGGGCTGTAGCGATAGGACAAGGGGTGATGGGTTTAAACTGAACCAGGGGAAGTTCAGGTTCAGGTATAAGCAAGAAGTTCTTTACTGTGAGGGTGATGAGGCACTGGAATGGGCTGCCCAGGGAGGTTGTGAATGCTCCATCCGTGGTGGTGTTCAAGGCCAGGCTGGACGAAGCCTTGGGTGTCCTGGTTTAGTGTGAGGTGTCCCTGCCCATGGCAGGGGGGTTAGAACTGGATGATCTTAAGGTCCTTTCCAATCCAAACCATTCTATGACTCTATGGGTGGCTGCTGCTTCTGAGATGCTCTGCATTCCGGAGAAGCTGCCGTGAGTCACTTGCTCTCACATACACACAGAAAAAGCCCCAGAAGATTAAACACGGCTCGCTTTGCTCTGAGTCATTTTTCTCTGCCCCGTCACCGTATGGAGCTGGGAACTGCACAGTTCTGGGGAACAGCCAGTGCTGTCCGCGTGCACGTGGGCCCTTGGCTCTGCCCAAGCAGGGTTCTCTGGGGCTGCTGGGGACAGGGGTGAGCTCTGGCTTCCCCACCGTGTTTGCATGGGAGGACGGTGCCCTGGTGCTGTCTCAAGGGGAGGTTTGGGAACAGGCAGCTGTGCCCAGGCTGTGCCTCGCTGTGGGCAGAGCTGGAACACCAGTGCCTCTCCACAGGTCCCGCAGAGGCACAGCTTTCTGTGGGGTGATGCTGATGCTTTGCAGTGGCACCCACAGGGGTTTGCAGAGCCCAGGCAGTGCCAGCGCTGCCAGTGTCACCCCTCTTGCTGGGAATGGGGGCTCCAGCTTAGCAGGCTCTGCCGGCTGGGAGCGGGCCCCATGCAGATTCCTTCTCTCTGCGCTGGCTCTCATGTGCCTGCACAAAGCTCCCCACTGTGGCAGCAAGAGATGGGAGCTGAGCCCCCTGCCCAAGTTACCTCCAAGGGTTTGGTTTCACACCTGAATTTCCCTTCCCACATCCTTGAGTGTCTTAATGATATGGGGGTTTTGCTCATTTGGGTCCCATCTCTCCAGTTTACTCTTATGTCTCTGGGTTAGGAGCCTGGAGCTGCCTCCCAGTAGCTGAAAATGGTCAAACCCAGCAACTGAGCCCCTGCCAGTATCACAGCCAACAGCTGCGACTGTGTCCAGGCTCCCGTCATGGCAGCCCTCAATGGAAGCTTTGCCTGACTGCCTCCGTGATCCCTGAATGTTGTTATCCCATAGTGCCTGGAGCATCCCTGCCAGGGTTACAGGCAAGAAGCCTCTG